TGTGTAAATTTAATACACTTCATCTTCAGCATGTTTAGTGCCACTTTTGTAAGTAACCACGCCCCCGTCCAGGCCACGCCCCCGTCCAGGCCACGCCCCTTCCGCTTTTTTCATCACTCGCCATTGCCATGTATGGTATTTGTTCAGCCTGCTCCTGCTTTATCACCTGTCAGTGCAGGTAAGCTGCCTGAAAGCGAGGTGGATGAGGTTTATCGTCCATTCATTCTCAGGGGCTCAGTCTTGCTGACAGAGGGAGAAAAGGATCAGGTTCCAATTTTTATTTTTTTGCAACACCTAGGCAATGGAGTCCCTCATTTAAAATAGTGTTCCGCCTTTTTCTATTGATACTTTTTGCAGTTTGAATACCCTTATTTGGGATGTTAAAATCAGCGTGTTCAGAACACTGCTGCACACTTTGTTTTAGCACTCGGTCCAGAGGTGTCTGGACCGGTCAAAATTGGAATTCATTCCCGTTTACGGGTGTGCAGTGTTACCCTCATTCTTGGGACCTCGTGTAAAAAGTTAACGTCATGTAAAAATTGAAACTCATGTCAAAACTGAACCTTCTCTTGCAAACGTTTATGACTGAATACTCGTCTCTGACACACTGTCCTTCATCGGCTTGCTGCACAAGTGCTAACTTTCCTTCTGTGTTCCGCATTGAAAATGATGTATTAATGCCGCACATACACCCTTTCATCTGGTGATTTTGCCTAGAACTCGTTTCAACAATTTGTTGGGCCCCAGAAATTTTGCCCACAAGTCCTCAGCCTTGCACATGACATTCACTGGAAAGCAAGTTAGTTACAACAAACAATTGTAAACATTTTTTCGTTAGGAATGGGATGTTATGGCCCGAGGCCGAATTTTCCAATGTGTACGATGTAGATGTGAATGGTTATGTTTTGTGAGTGTGTGTGTGGCGGAAGCTGTCTCTTCTGGTGTTGTGTGTGAGTAGAAGTAGTGAAAGGAGAAGCCTCCGATTGGCCAAGACCCAACTGCTGTGTATTCCAAGAGCCTCCGTGGGGTGACAAGAGTCAGTGTGCCTTTGACAATAAAGAACGCATTTGCTCTTGGCCTCCAAACTGGTGAATTACGGTACTTGTCTCACCTTAATTTGTTGTAGAACCTTAGTTCATACCTGTAGTTGTTTTCTGAAGTAGTTCGTTTTTTCAGGTAGTTCATTATTTTGCATGTCAGCTGTTGAGACCTTTTTGTTTTTGACCCAATTTGTAAAGTCTTGTTTTAGTTCATTGTAAATATCTTAATTGTGAATACTGTTTTGCCTTTGGCTATTTTTAAAAATGTATTTATTTATTTTAAATAAATTGTAAAGTTCCAGCAGAGGTACTGGGTTCGATCGCGGCTCCAGCCATCCTGTGTGGAGTTTGCATGTTCTCCCCGTGCCTGCATGGGTTTTCTCTGGATACTCGTTTCCTCCCAAATTTCAAAAAACATGCATGGCAGCATGTCCCCAGCTGTGTGTGTGAGCGTGGATGGTTGTTTGTCTGTCTGTGTCTGAAGGCAGCTGGGATAGGCTCCAGCACGGACCCGCAACCCTTGTGAGGATAAAGCACATCCGAAAATGGATGGATGGATGTAAAGGTCCAACTTCTTTGTTATGCACCTTCCTCTAGATGGGTGAGCAACAGGCTCTCTCATTCAACTTTCAAACCCTTTGTCTTTTCTGTGAAGAATATCTACAAATTTTTGTCTCATAACAGTGAACTTTCTCTTTGTGGTGCAGGCAGACAGCTGAGTCTTGACCTGAAGAGTTAGCCCTTCTGTGTTGTGCCATGCGCCTGTTCTGTGGATGTTTGGTTTCCCCAAAATCTGGAGAGTATCTGTGCATTTCTCATTGCACTTGCTGCATACACCAGATTGTTTTTCTGAGTATGGGTATCCATTTTCTAATCCGCTTATTCTCACAAGGGTCGCGGGCATGCTGGAGCCTTTCCCAGATCTCTTTGGGCAGTAGGCGGGGTACACCCTGAACTGGTTGCCAGCCAATCACAGGGCACACAGAGACGAACAACCATCCACGCTCACACTCACACCTAGGGACAAAAGAGGGTTCAATCAGCCTGCCATGAGGGTTTTTGGAATGTGGGGGGGAAACCGCAGAACCCGGAGAAAACCCACGCAGGCACGAACATGCAAACTCCACGCAGGAAGGCTGGAGCCGGAATCGAACCCTGCACCTCTGCACTGTGACATGCTAACCAGTCGACCACCAGGCTGCCCTCTATATGTACCGTATATCTATATCTATATCGATTTAGATGTATATATGAGTGTGTGTGTGTGTGTGTGTGTGTGTGTGTGTAAGGGAGTGATACATAAACTTTATTAAATTATGGCAGAAGTGACGTAACAGCACACAGTATGGCACCTGCTTCCCGCCGTAGTGTCAGTCACAGCTCCGAGGAATGCACAGTGGTGAGTTGCTAGTCCGGATTAATAAACAATTATGTTTTATTTCAATTATTTTTTCTTATGCTGCTGTGTGGTGTGCTCAAGTAGTTCCCCTTAATTGTTCTGAGCCCACTTTGCTTTCTGCGTCGTTAAAGTGACATTTTTTCGACTGAAACCTTTCACGGGTTAAGTTGATTAGTAAATGCTCATTTGTTGTGCAGATAATTGTCTAAGACTGAATGATGCTTCACCATTGCTCCTACCATACTGTGTTGAAGGTAATGTTTATCTCTTGTCAATTTTGCTCTATCTTGTTGTTCACATTATTTTTCATTTGTTAAACTAGATTAGTGGCATTTGTATTTTGAAGTCGCGTCTCTGCTGCGTGTGGTGTGTTCCATGACACTTCGTAAACGAGAGAAAACGTTCTTTTTTTCCTTTACTGTGAAAAGTTGCAACAAAAAAAAGTATTTCGAGGATTATTATCATTTCTACCAGGCTACTTTAGTTGAAAACACAATACGATCAAATGCTGTATTTCTTGTTTTCTTAGAAGATTAGGGACGATATTTTGTTAGTCGGCGGCCTGGTCGTCGACTGGTTAGTGCGTCAGCGTCAGAGTTACAGGGTTCCGGCTGTCCTGTGTGGAGTTTGAATGTTCTCCCCATGCCTGCGCGGGTTTTCTCTGGGTCATCCGATTTCCTCCTGCATTCCCAAAACATGCATTACAGGCTGATTGAACACTGAATTGTCCCTAGGTGTAAGTGTGAGTGTGAATAGTTTGTTTATGTATGTACTGCGATTGGCTGGCAAACGGTTCAAGGTGTCCCCCTGCCAACTGCCCGAAGGCAGCTGGGATAGGCTCTGGCACGCCCCGCGACTCTTGTGAGGAAAAAGCGGATCCGTAAATGGATGGGTAGATTTTGTTGGTCAGGCAGAGCTACTAGGAATGCACAGTGATAATATTCCGAGACTAAATGCAGCTTTACCTTTGCTACCGCAAAGGTGTCCTGCAATAAAAACCTGAGCGTCAATGATGAATTGAAGCGACAGCGACATGGAGCTGTAAATTGCTCGATGTAAATAAATAACAGAAAGGGAAGACCACTACAACAAAGAACAAGGAACCGTGGGTGCATTTAATAGAGCAGATATAAATAGACAACGACAAAGCAACACATATTGACTATTGTACAAATTTAAAACTTGATGCGCTCACTCACTGATGGAGAGTAGTCAGGCTGCATCATGCGAATAGCATTCATGACAAAAATATTGCTGCTATACCATATAGCACAAAAATGAATATGTTGACCATAACAAAATGACAATGAAGGCATTCCCGTTTATATAAACTACAGTGTATTATTGCAAAATAATTATGTAGCAAAACAGGGTGGAGGGTAAACACATTTGGTTTTTGATTCTGGTGTGTGTTCAAATGATTCCACTTGCAGCCCACTCAAAAACAATTTCACAAATTGACATTTTATATATATATATATATATATATATCTCCATCCTCTTAAATTGTATAAAAAGCTACAAACATTAATAAATTACATCACTGACACATAAACACTTCACAAAGTGCGAGTAAAATAGTTCTGAAACCTTTCGGATACTAGAACTAAAACGAGTGGCTGATGGTAGAAATGAAAGGTTTTTCCTTTGTATAATTTGAACTCAACGACGCCATCTTTTTCTCCCAAAGAGAACCACAATACAATTTACCTTTGTGCATGTAAGGTCTTAAAAAAACAAAAATGTATTCAACTGTTTCCCAGGCAACACCATTAATTCGCACCCACCCGAGCGAGCAAGCGCGCGCGCACGCGCGTACGCACGCACGCACGCACGCACGCACACACACACACACACACACACACAAACACATAGGGTCTTAACAAAATGTATACTGTAATGTAAAATTATAGCACTCTACTATATATTTTACGTGTGCGCGTGCGTGCGCATATTTGAATATGTATGTACTATATATATGTACTATACATATAAATATTTGCATTTATTAAAAAATGTAAAAAAAAGAGGAAAAAATACAAAAGGTAAACATTTGAAAGATTATTTACAAAGCTACATTCTATATACTGTGAGAAGCTATAAAATTGCAGATGACTTGACAATGTTGGTGCTGCCTGTGAAAGCAAAAGTATCCCAATGCAATAACAGCATAACTGAAGTGGACCAAGCTTATCAGCAAGTATCATCTGATCCGATGGCCTTTCAACAATGTTGAACTTACTGAACTCAACTTAGAAGGCATCTGGTGCTACTTGGAATACTTTTGTGGTATTCTGTGTTAGTGAAAGAAAAACCCAAGTTGATCACTAAAATCATTTGAAACCAACGTAATAATAAAAAATAACGTAAGCTTTAATTAACCAATGAAAATCAGGCAGTTTTATGGTTCGGTAGTGTATGGTCGGCACCGTACAGTGTTCTTTTGTTTTTACACATGACAGGCAAATTTCAAGAAAGAAAACCCCTGTCATCACATTTTTTCAGAAGCACTAGCTCGTCGATAGCTACAGTATTTCAGCCAAATCTGGTCTCATCATTTTCAATCACAGTATGTCAATCGTGACTGTGGATTTTTCATTCTTGGCCTGTGTACAAAGGTAAGAACACTGTACATACTGAGAAACGCAGAGCAGTCTCAATTTATGTTCATGGCTGCTTTGCCAAAGACAGCGTGATTTGAACCCATCCCGGTTGCAGAGAAATCTCAAGACTATCAAGACATTCTGGAACAAAAAATGGCTGCCCATTGATAGAAAGCTGGGTCGCACGTCATGGGTCATTTCAAGGAATATCACTGAACATCTGCTAAAGAGGCTTACACAAACAACCTGGAGAAGGCACCATTCAAACCAGAGAATGTTACAGCACTTTGCTCCTGAATGGTGGGTAAAAATATCTGTGATGCTTTAATTTTTATTGACGGCTACAGAAATCATTTGATTGCAAAGACTCCATCGGGCTACTTGTAGCTCTCTTGGTAGATCGGGTCGTCCAATGACTGAAGGGTCAGCGTTTTTATTTCCGTCTCTGAGTGTCTCCTGTCAAAGTGTACTTGGGCAAGGCACCAAACCCGAAATTGCCTCCAGGTTGTCATTGTAAATGAGTGCCTTACCATGTTGAAACAAAGGACATGATAGGTAACAGATTGTGCCAACAAAATATTAAGTTCAAGGAATTAATTTTTGGGTCCAGGTCATGTTCATCATTTTGTTTTTAAAACACCTTTGTTGGACCACAAAAATAAAACAATGTCTGTTTTTCATTGGTTAATGTTCACTATTTTTCAATCTATAATTACTTTGGACAGTTTTTTTGTTATTTTAGTGACTCTTTTTTTTTTTTTTCTTTTAATTTCATTGACAGAGCCACACCAAGTTTGTCAAGGTGTGTACAGTATATTACCCAATAGATAATGACCACTTTGTGCTTTTCACTATCTTAACCTGTTAAAAATTGTATCGAGTCAACACTAAATAAATATAGATTGACTCTGGAAATGCTTTCCAAACTTATTTAAAAAAAATAAATAAATAATTGCTCACGATGACTTAAACCATTCTGTGATACGCTAAGAGCCCTTTCTGGATGGTAACAAATGAGGTCATTTTGCTCTCTCTCAACTTGAACATTAGTGTGGCAATAATAAGTTGTATCGAGTGGAAATATTTGTTAAACTTCCCAAACCCAAGGACACATATCGTTGAATTACATGCAAAGGATAATTTCTAAAATGGAATGCCTGCAATGTATTTCTGTTCATGTTTTAGTATCCTGATAACTAATATAGTAAAGTGAAACATACAGGTTTTATTAAAAATATTTATAGCTGATTATGTACACTTTAATATCTCAAAGTTAGAAAGTATAAGGAGAGGCAGAAATGTATTTGTTTGATGTTGGTCTTGGAAAGTGAAAAATGGATGATTTTTTTTCCCCATCTCAGCTTTTTTCTCACTGTTAAAGTGAATCAGGAGAAAAAAGAAAGTGGGACCCAGTTCATGACTTTCCAGTCTGAGAGTTTGCTGCATGCTACAGGAGGAGTTTGCCATTTCGATGGATCTTTAAAATCTTCCCAAGTCTCTGTTTTGCTGTTGCCATGCCTTTCTTTAGCCGCTTAGCTGGAAGAGAGATGAGACAATCAGTTAGACAAAATGATCCATAAGCAGGTGCATGACTTGACATGACATGAGGCTGCTGAATAAACATACGTGAAAGCCTGTATGCTTCTGCTTCTATCTATATCTTATATTTATATTGCATTCTATACTGCGTACATTTCTTTTTCTGAAAGATTTATTTTTGTTCATGCAACACTTTGTTTGAGAGGTAAGGTGTCGCGCCACCTTACCTCTCAAACATCAGATAACTCAAAATATGTACAGAAATTGTAACAAGACCTGTGTGTGTGTGTGTGTGTGTGTGTGTGTGTGTGTACATGCATCCATCCATTTTCCGATCCGCTTTATCCTCACAAGGTTCGCGGGGCATGCAGGAGCCTATCCCAGCTGTCTTCGGGCAGTAGGCGGGGGACACCCTGAACCGGTTGCCAGCCAATCGCAGGGCACACAGAGACGAACAACCATCCACGCCCACACTCACACCAAGGGACAATTTAGAGTGTTCCATTAACCTGCCATGGATGTTTTTGGAATGTTGGAGGAAACCGGAGTACCTGGAGAAAACCCACACAGGCACGGGGAGAACATGCAAACTCCACACAGGGAAGCCGGAGCCGGAATAGAACCCTGCACATTGTGAGGTCGACGTGCTAACCACTTGACCACCAGGCCGCTCATGTGTGTGTGTGTGTGT